TTTGCCAAGTAAGCTCATGTCCGGTGTCATCAAATTCAACAATCCAAACTGAAGCAACACAAGACGTCTGTTTACTTAAAAATGAGCGTAATTTGACTTTGTTTGAAGAATCGAACAGGGATGAAATGGATACCAAAGTTAGAACAATGACAACCAGGTACGCAGACGGCCACCGTTACTTGCCACAGATTTTGTCAACCGTTTGCTGAGCACGTCAACGAAGTTGTGTTGTCGTTTGTGTATTAAATGCAGTGCAAGACTCACGTGTTTTGTTGGCTGATACTGTAGGGTGACTAGTTGAAATGCTGACGTCTGATGGTCACATCGATGCAGCGGGTGCTGGTGATGGTGCATGCAGGGTGGTGGATGAGCAGGTGGCCCCTTGTGACTGATGAGCAAGCTGTGAAAGCGGTCGCGTGTCTGTGAGGCTGTAACAACCGGGTTATTGGACGTGAATCAGCGCGATTCTCAACAAACAAAGGAATAGGGAGAGAGTGCCTAAGGGGACGAATTTTGTATTCAGTTTGAAACATGGAGCCTTTTACCACTTACTTCCACTTAACAAACGCTTAAGTGAACAACAGTGAATGTGCTACATTTTTATATCGCGATCTTCGTATTAATTTGTGCTGACTAAATTCGTCTAAGCAATGACAATAGCCTTCCAAATCGTTTTCGTGTTCCCTTAAATGTGAAAACTGATCAGTTTTGTGTAACCTATTGATTCTAGCACAAATACTGACGCATAAATACTTTCCGCTGACACTGAAAACGATTTTGAAGTTCACAAATATGGCGAGTGCGTTGGTGTTCATTCTATTCAGGAATCAAACTTCGTGCAGTCGAAGTGCTTTTATTACAATACAACAGCAAAATCAAATTGAATAAGGGTGGAAAAAATTCTACAACTCCGAATTTCAATTGAACAATAGCGCTTTAAGCTAGTTTAAAATCACTACCACCTGCGACCACGGCAGCTCCATAAAATCACGCATTTTTTCACGCGCAATTGTTTCAGTCATAAAAACATACATATACATCCTGATTACCCACCGTCATGACAGATCTTAAATTAGGAAAGCATCTGTAACTCATGAGGCTGTCTCTAGGTGCACTTGCTTTTAAATTGCAGCAAATTAGCACTCAGAAATTCCGCTTTAGTAATTTAGGCCAGTTTCCCAGTAGCATTTGCATAATCGTGTGTAAATGGCTTACTTTGTTAATCGTTGATTAATCCCCTCCTTACATGGTGATCAGATGCACAATGCGAGCATGTGACGAGTTTTCATTCGCTGGGTTTGGTAAGCATGACCTTGTCTGGCGAATTAACTACAGTTCTAGAGGGGTTTGTGGAAAATTTCCCATAGTCAAATGAAATCAGTGGCTCTTGTGGCTCTAGTGAACCATAAGGTCTGTGGCGACATGTGCCTGTCGTTTAATATGACGATGACAGAATCACCAAATCAGTGCTTGCGTTATCAAACGGAGCAAGTATGAGGGCTTACCATGCGCATTCTAACAACCGCCACGAAGTACAAAACGCGAATAATGAGCAGGAACGTCTCAATTACTCGTGTCTGGTATCATCAAATTCAACAAACCGAACCGAAGCAGCACATGACGCCTGTTTGCTTTAAAATTAGCGTAATTTATGTTCCTTTAAAAAATTGATCAAGGCATGGAAGGACAATGACAATCAAGCACGCAGATGTGCACGGTTACTTGCCACGGATTTTGTCAACTGTCGTTCAATGGTACCTGAAAATAGGCAGAACGCTAAGTGGACGAGTAAAATCATGAGGTGACAGTGTAACTAGTTGAGCTCTTTTCAATAATTTTATCGTCTGACTTTAATGCACAAAGGCATGGCTATCAATCGAGATATTTTTGATCGTGCACCTGTCTTGTGTTGACGTTTTGCCCGATGGCAGGATGCTTTTCCAATGGAAGACATCGCGGCCGATACCGTAGCTTAAACATTCATTGGGAGATGGGTTGCCTTATTTGAAGTCCCGTTCACCATCATCACAGATCGACTAACATGGTTTGAATCAAGCCTGTTCCAAAATCTCACACGACGTCTGGTGGCAAGCGGTATGAGAACGACCGCCTACCAAATAACATGATAGAACGTTTTCACCGGCAACTGAAAGTTGCTTTGATCGCTCGCAGTGACCCATCTCGTTGGTCGGATGAGTTACTCCTCGTCCTACTCGGTGTTCGATCAGCTGTGAAGGAAAACTTGGGTTGTTCCTCTGCAGAAATGGTTTTCGGCACAACAGTGAGAATCCCTGGGCAATTTTTCACGGCAACATCCCCACCGTTATGGCCGGACACAAGCAGTTACGTTGATGATTTGAGGAAGGCAATGCGCAAACTGATATCAACTCAACCTCGCTCATCCTCCAATTCAATCTACATCCTAAGAACCCTGTCTTCTTGCATTCATTGCCTTTAGACTACTCCGACAAGAAAAAAAGTTTTTCATCGTCACACAAAATGAAAAGAAGACGTTGTATCTATTGACCGCATCAAGTCAGCATTCCTCGATTCCAAGCAACAAACCTGACGCTCAGCCAACTCTCATCCCCTATGACAATAAAGGTACTGTTACCACTACACGTGATGGTAGGCGCGTTCATTGGTCTGACCGTTACACTGCCTGACCCCACCCATGTTCTCATATCCTGACCAACGTCTGTCTCAAAAATGATCCATCTCGATTTTTCGAATCTCGCCTGTTTTACCGCATTTTGGTTTTAATTTCGCATAACTCTCTTCGCTTCTCGACTCTCAAACTATGGAATCAAAAGATTGTGGTAAGCAGCAAGCCAGCACAGTTAGCATTCGTGAGCGAACGTAGTTCACAAGCGTGATCAAACGCAATTCAATCGATTTTTTCGTGAATGCACCGTAGTGGACAGACAGCCGCCGGACGTGAGTGATGCGTGTATGCCTGCCAGACTGTATCAATGACTCACCCTCCTTGTTATTGGCTCATGTTAGCGGTCGCCTGTTACGCACGCGTATTGATGCGCACACGAAAGTTAGTAATTGATTTTACTCGAATTGACTTGTCTGTCGTGACCCGAATTAATGGTCGTGGTTGCTGTCGACTCTGTCTTCTCTCTTCTCAGTTCGTGACTGGCTGTTATCTATGGAGTTTTGTGGTAGTGCTAGCAACTTCGGCCGCTACAAATTGGTGACGCAGACATGGACCTTCAATTACCCTAGATGGGATCAACCTAATACAACCTCCATTCTGGCCGAATTCCGCTCCCTTTTTGTTCACCGTTTTGGAAAAGCAAGTTCGTGGCGCTAATGTTGTCAGCCATCGTGCCAAATACTCTCACCTCGACTCCGCTTTGAGTTGCGAACTGGCCAACGACGTTTCAGACGTACTGCTTCATTCCGACAATGACTGGGGAGATTTGAAGCCTACACGGCTCCAGAGGAAGATGCGTCAACTCTCCAATGACGAACCTTTGTAAGGTGCATTTAGAAAGGATTTTTTGTCAAGCGACTTCCCAGCAATATCCAACCCAACCTTGCCCCAACTGTTGAATCGTCAACACTAGAACAGTTGGCGGATACCGCGGACCTCAAATTAGAAGCAACGAAATCGGCTCACATCCTCGAAACTTACCCACGTCTCCAACGACAATTGAATGCATTTTTGCCCGCTGACACGTGCCAAGCACCTATCTCTTTGGAGAGCCGCCCAGCCAGGATCGCAGCAGCAATCGACGCCTTGACAATTAACGGTTCACGAGGGAGAAGATACAACACCTCATTTAGACCCATTCACTTACATTCTTGCCGAAGATCCTCTTCACGCTCGTCTTCCCTAGGTTTGTGTTGGTATCATGCAACCTTCGGCCGTACAGCTTGACAGTGTGGGCTTCCGTGCCGGTACGGTGTTTCAGACGCTCTCGCACGCCCAGTAGTAGTGGCGTCGATTGATGCGCGCACAAAAAAAATGAACTTGACTGGCATGACGTCTTACCTCTTCGCGGATTCTACCGATCGTTAAATATAGAGTTGTGTGGTAATGTATGCATTAAAAAAGCATGCCTACTTGCCTGTGTTTTGTCACTCGACTGACGACTAGCTCAATCTAAGCTTGTAACAGGGACTTTTCCTTAATTCTAAAAGACGGTGAGTTGGTGCGCAGGTGTAAGTTGTGCCACCAAATAATTTCATTGGTCGTATTATGAAGAGTCATCTTCACTCATCACTTGGCTATAATATGGGCTGTTTGTATTTATTTCAAAATGGCTCTTTTCTACCGCCACAGGATTCGTTGTGTATCACGCATCAGCTACTTGAGTATTTGACCACGCGATTTCATGTCAAAGTAATTATTATTCCCGCAAAGACTAGACCAAAATTGAGTAATCCTGTTTGAAGACTTTTCAATCTTTTTTCAATAACAAAATAGTAAGAGAATTTAACACGCCAACCACTGTCGCAATAACGTTTTTTCTAAAGTAGACTGGAAGTGGAGTCGAAAAGGGTATGGCAAACTAGGAACTAGAGAATGCCAAAGGTCAGCCTACACGAGTGGCATCGTGTGGAGGAATTCATTTTTCTGTGAAACATGAAAAAGGCAGTTGTGTGACCGTCAGTTGTGGTTACATGGTTGATATGAACAGTAATATATGGGTACACGAACTGTGTGAAGGTCTGCAAAATATGTGACGAACAAAAATACGGGCGTCTGGAGGATTCTAATGACCTCGTTATTGTCGCAACATGATCAATGATCTTCGTTTTTGCTTCCAGGTTTTCAATCCGCTGCATTAAATTCTATATACAACTGCCTTATTTCAAGGTCACCTGCCTGCTGACCTCTTGGCAATCGCAACTTATTCAGTGCTACTGCGTCTGCTAATGATCACGTTCGTCTAAGAAGGGATTAGGCACAAGTCAAATATGCAAGGTGACATGATTCTGAGCATGCGGTAGTTTCAGGAGTGACCACTAAGCGAAGAACGCTTGACTTGAAACCAGTGAGACAAATCGGGCACCACAGGCGTTTAGTTGATACGCAGGCACATCTTTGACTCACTTAGTATACATTCCACACACTCTTCTCATTAACACTGTGCTCACCTGCCAATGTCAATAATTGACAGTCACGGCTTCGGATCTCGACTACCAAGTCGACAGAGCAAAATTCTCTATGTGATGAGATATAGTCATTTGGGTGAAGCATCGTCTGCAGAAAATCGAGAATTGGGTTTCACTACGCAGAAAAGGCCTGTAGAGTAGATCCCAAGATGTGCGTAACTAAATGTTTTTGGTTCGAAATATTGCTTTGCGTTGTAAATTGTGTTTGGTAATGGAAAGCATGGTGCGAAATGGTTGTCAATCATTACCACTTGATTGAGAATGTCGATCCACAGTTGTATTCTTCCACTCTTAATTTTATTTGAGATTTCAAATGAACATTTGCCCTCTTATCGTTCTGCCACCTAAGCCGACGCATATTTGTGTGTGACGAACTCAGTGGTTGGCGTCGAACCACAGTGGTCCTGTCGATATTAACTGGCCGAAATCGCTGCCGATGGCTGATGATGCTGCTGATGCAGAGGGATACGTGAGTATCCAAAGAGGAAGCGACAATTATGACAACCACTTTCTGCGTTAGTTTTGATCAACGTCAGTGTGGAAGTCGAAATATCATCCAAATTTCGTTATCTGTGAAAGTGAATGGCATGGGACATGTACATTGCAAAGTGTGTAATAAATTAACACTATCGAGTCCCTGATAAACGCCGATCTGCATGAACATGCAAAGAATATCTGCAACGTTTTTGTTATTCACAGCTCAGCGATGCCAAACACGATGTCATACGAAGCCATGTAAAAGAAGGAGATTGACGGAGTAGCGATAAGTTTTGAAAACTGCTGACGCGCACAATCACTTCGACGAACAAAACTATGGTTAATATTCAAATGTACCATTAGTCTAGAGTGTCCACAAGTGGAAGCGCCAAACTCTAACAATAATACGATGATTAAACGAACTTAATAATGAGCCTGTTTGCGATTACTGGTGAACATATGCGAAACGCCGCCGATCTGCTCTGTATACTAGGGTTAAACTAAATTAAGAAGCAAGTGCTGTGGAATATCATTGCTTTATCACAATTTTGCGGTCCATCTGACTTGCTTTTAGCCTCCTTAATTAACGCTTGCAGTTCTAGGTGAATAGTAAAGCTCATGTTTAAAATAAATGGGAAACAAGTCAGGATGAGCGAACTTGTCCATTGAGAATGGTGGCCTCTCAAACAGGAAACGAAATGGTGACTCTCGGTGCCAATTTTGCAGATTCTATAATTTGTGAAGAAACAACTAATTTTCGTTAAGAAGAAAGATGCAATACCCTAAAGCAGTCGATATCATGATCGTGTTGACGTCTTTTGAAGATCTTTTGATGCCATAGTTTAAACAACGCCTTCAGCTGATCTCTTAGTCTATTGTATTTAAGCCAGTATCTGGTGGAGCAACTGTGTGGTAATTCCGTCGCTACACAGCGTGTTGTCATTGGAAGTCCATTCTGCTCATTAGTAACCTGCTACATTTGGATGTCCAGAACGGAACCGATAACCTGATGTAGCTGAACCCTCAATTCACCTTGGCAATGCATGTAGCATTTGTGCATTTGCGAGTAAGCAGTAGTTTATTTATTATGCTTTAAGCATTACAGCAATAAATCAAAACAAGTCAAGTGTTGTTGAAGTAAAGTCGAAAGTCGTAGATGTTTCAGTTGGTTTAGGCCACAGTTCGGACAATTTCTCGTAAAGCCAGCCTGCATTTGGCGGCTTCTTCAGTAGCAAATCGGCCTCAATTTGCAGAACCTTTTGCATGGAGTCTTTGTTTTTCAATTTCTTTGACGAAATGTTGACATAAAGCTCCGGTCCGCCAATACTGGTGACATTCCATTCCAAAAGTACTATGGTTACATTGGCTGCAATTGTATCCTTATCAACCTTTCTAGCGTTTGCGGAGACGTTAAAAGCTGCAACACCGATTGTAGTGTTCAGCCTCTAAAAGAAGCCACATAAACATCACACCAAATAGACGTGAACATGAATGTTTCATTTCAGTTTTACCGTAATCACCCACTCATTCTCTCATTTGTAAAATGGGCTTCAAGCCAAGTATTTTGTTCATCTTGCTTTAACGAAATTTCCTATTGCCTTAATGGCTCTCATCTGTGTTTCACACTAGCTGGTAGATGCAGCTACGCACAAGAGCAATTAACAGAGCCACATGCTGGTTTTTAATTAATGTCCACCTAGACACTGAACAATTATGATATGCGCATGACTATTTATAATTAAAACAAATGCGTACATCGGGAACTGATATTGCAAACAGCACCAGTGGGGATGCGAGTTTCGTGGACACAAGTCCAAGATATCTCGATTGCATCCTCGTGGCAATGTCTCACACTTGGCCAGGAATGAATAGACTATTGCCTGCATAAATATGCAACGCAGTTGACCCAAGAAAAGGCTCATAGTTGTGCAGTAAAGAAGGCTGTGGTTGACAGGTTATCGTACCGAATTCAGAAGCCGATTCAGCGGTATTCTAGTGCACGTCTACAAGAATTCGTCGATGTCAAGTAAAACTAGTAGATATGCGATCATGTCCTCAAGTCATTTGTCTTTTCTCCAACCAATGACAATCAATCACAAAACCAATTTTACTCCTGTGTTTACAAAAATCATTACGTTCTCTTGCGTTGGTATACGTTTGAATATTGCAATCATTCTTTTCTCGCCTTTGGCTTTCGGGCACCATTGCCTAGCCTGTCATTATTACGAACTCCTGAAAGTCGGTCATTCTTGTGGACAGCACAACGACTTTCAAACCCTAATTAATCAATTGCACATTTGTGGATTTTTAAATATTTGTTTAGGAAATGCAAAACTCACCAGGTCCGGCATGTCAACGTGAACATTCGTCAGGTTCACACAGGTACTCACGGACATTTTCTCGTTTCCATAGGTCCCCGATTTGTCTTTTGTCAGCGGACAGGAGAGTTTGGCACTTCCGACGCTGGTGACATGGACTGTGCCAATCCCATCCACATCTGGGATCGTTATATTTGTAAAATTTAAATACGGCACCGTGGATTCACTGTCGAGATACGGATCGGTAGTGAAACCTTCAGAAATAGAGCAGGTAAATTTAGATAAATGGAATTGGACGTACTGTCTGCTTGGTTGAAATTAGGAAGAAGACTGATCACCACGAACACAGCGCACACGAATTTAAGACTCATGTTTGACGGTCTCTGTTGAACCTCGTAATGTAGATTGCGTG